TAGCCTAAAGCCCAACAGCGTGAGGCAATATCTTTTCCCCTTGATCAGTACCATCTGAAATGCTCAGAGAGACTCGTGGACTTGTACTTGTTAGTAGGCCCTCTGCAGGTCAAGCAGTGCCACATTGACTCCTTGCTGATGCCACTCCTTCAATTTGGCTGTACATACGTCTGCATCCACAGTGAAGGCATCCACGTATTCGTTAAGCTCCCTGTAGTCCATCACTGGGTGCACCTTGCCTTTGGTATGTTGTATGACAGCCATTAGAGAAATCAAACCCTTAGAAGGTCCTAGTCATTCCTGGGGGTATGGGATCAACCAACCATTCGTGATCCACATTTGCAGTTCCCTCTTGTACTCTCCCCTGATGTCATCGGGTATCTTATATTCTGTAACCTGATTACAAAGTAGAGTTGGTGTGTCTTTCAGGGTCCATTTCCATTTGGCAGTCCATATCCTCTTATTATGATCAAAAGCGGCCACAAAATCCGGTTCTTTGTTGCAAAGGGCTGCACATGCTTCTTTTCCTTCACTGAGTTTCACGTCTACGGCTGGCGTGATCGTGATGCCTCCTAGTGCTCATATCGCGTCAATTCCAATCAGGAGTTCGTAACCGAGAGGCCACTAAAACGTTAACTTCAGCATAACTGCCTCAATGAGTGAGGATTGACATGGTCCTGACTCCACAACATACACAGGACATTCCATCAATTGTCTGCATTTCTACTTGTTTACTCCATACCTTACATCATTCAGCACTAACTATTGATTGGGAACATCCAGTGTCAACGACCACTGAACATCGCACACCATCAACTTGCACATTAACTACAGGCAATGCTGCATTTACTAGCCAAGAGGGGGTGAGGCTAGCAACGGCACCTTGCCCCAGGACCCATTTTCTGAACAATTTCATGCTATGTGACTCAGCTTGTTACAGCGATGGCAGTGCAATCGCTCCCGTGTTCTTTGGTTATTGGCACCTCCTGCATTACCCTGGCCTCAACAGTACCTGGAGTAGTGGTTAGGACCACCTCATCTACAGCATTGTGGGCTTTTTCGTGGCCTTACCATGACAGAATCACTTGCAGTATGTTACCTTTCGGACGGTGTCTTGGTCATTCTCACAGCCGCCGCAACCAGTTCTGTGTCTTTCAGAATGTTTTGTGCTCTGGCTAGCAATTCATCAATTCCCAGTTTGTCCAGTCTCGAGGATGTTCACAGCAGCCGACATCATCAGGAAGTCCAGCCAAAAAAGCACATTCCAATATACAGTCAGTTGCTCCACCAAATGGTACCGCTAACTTCCTTAGATTGGCTAGATAGATGTCCACCATTTCACCTGGTTCGAGTCATCGCCTGACAAACTGTTTCCACGTGATGAAGGAGTCTGTCCCAAAAGCCATGTACAGTGCATGCTTAATTTCTTCCAAATCTGCATCATCCCTAAGGTGTTGGTAAACTGCATAGGCTCCTTTCGTGAGTTTCAGTGGGATCAGCGTCACTGGTTCTTTCACCTTAAATAGTCTGCAGACCCGTTCAGCTTTTTTGAACCATTCAATGATAGATGGGCCCATGGGAGAGCCGTCAAATTCAGGAATTAACTTCAGGTCGAACTTATCCATAGTTAACAAAAGCTGAAATAGCTTGTACCGGTACAAATCCACGACAACTGACAAACTTCCTGAACAAACACACTATTCACTTGGTGCACCTGGTGTAAAACTGCAACGACTGATAAACTCTCTCAATTTACTCAATCTCTTTCTGCACCTCTGCTTTCTCATTTACATGATTCTTCTTCAATGTTGCAGAAGATTCTTTTTCGGAGTGACAAGTAGTCAGCATTTTTATGTCCTTTTCTGCCCTCCTTCATTTGCCTGTGTGAATTCACTTTCCATGGTTTTACACGACCGCCCGTGTGAGGATACATGACCATTCGCAATATAAGCTTGCCAGGGGCAGCCATGTTTTTTCCAGTCAAAAAAAAAATAAATAAACCTTGCACGCAGAACATATATGCTGCCATTTTCAATCAGGTGGGTGATTATTTTCATTCCAATTTTCACTACATGTCATCTTCCTGATGAAAAGACTGTAACTCTGTGGGCTGTGTGCATGTAGTTTGATTTTTTTGGCTTCAAGGATTTTATGGTGGTACTGCTTGAGGTAGTTTTGCAAGGCAACTTATTTTTTCTTCAAGCCACAAGGCCCATCATAACATTCCCATGTGACACAAGATTCTGGTGAGTGATTATCATGGAAGAAGGTAAGGGTAAGTATAATTGGCAAGATCTATACTGGGGGTCAATCCCTTGCCACAACTTGCATTGCTCTTATTATTTTTTGAATTTAACTAAATGTTAGCATTTTCTATTACAGTAGGAGGGGTAACAAAATTACTTGTGTTTTTTTTTTACCAGTAAGTGCAACTATTACTGGTAGCTGGTTGGAATGACTATTTCTGTGGTTGTAATTTGTTATGTAGGGTAAATTGCAAGTAGTTGAAGGAGAAATGTATCAGAATTACTAGTGTAGATTTTATCAGTATGTAAATTTACACCTGGTGCCAACTGGAATAAGAATTAACTTGAAGATGATGTGGAAAGACTAGCCTTGATATTCTAGGAAGCTTTTTGAGAAACAAAAAGCATTTAATTACAATAAAATGATTTAATGCCTTCAATTGTTTGGACTTGAACTTGTGAATTAACAAAGATTTAACTAGTAGGATTGAATTAAACAAGAAGCAACTTCCCTTCACCACTGGGTAAATGATATCTGAGTTAAACCAGCTGGTCTTAAACTAGGTTAGATCTTGACCAAAATTCAAACTTTCTCATTTGATTCTTTATTGATGTAAAGAATTTGCCTGAACCTCGCCAATTGAGAGACTGAAGTCATCAAAACCCTACCTTGTTGCTATGCATGTGTACAACTCTGCTATTAACCTGATACTTGAAAGAAAGTTATTTCTTACATATGGTATGAGTATGGACCAATCAGAAAGAAAATCCTAAGCAGAAGTGATGAAAAAGTCAAAATACATAGAACAATTCAAAGTAGGTAAAGAGATGAGGTATATATACAGATGTCACCACCCATTCTGTGATACTGCCTGAGAATAATTTTATCAACTGAAAATGTTTTCATTTGTACACTGATCAACTAATGAAAGAGTTCATCCTAAATTTCCCCAGATCAAAAATTTAAACATAATATAAAGTAGGGGAGATCATCTAGTAGACTGAGATACCCAGGCAGGACCTTGGCCTATGGGAGATATGAGAGAGGTGATCTTTGTTAAAGGCAGTGTTGACTCTATAAAACAGTATGTCTAACAACATTTCAGTGACGGTTACACCATATTGAAGCTCTTCAGGTAGCTTATGTAATTCTGCTTGTAACTCACAAAGTTGATGAAATCTGATACTGAAGTGAAAATGCTGCAAAATCATGGAATGTTTAAAGTTTTGGTGTCTGATCATTAAATCACTTAAGGTTAAGGAAAAATTATCAGTCTGTTTCACAGATTTTAGAGATATCCTTATGCCTTGAGTTGTATGACAGATTCAGGTATTATAATGAGGCACTGTTTTTTGGAGCTTTTATTTTGATTGTCTTTAATATGAAAAAGGTTTAATCAAAATGAGAATCTTTATTATTTAATCAAATAAGAATACAAATAAAGTAAAATACATCTTTTTAATGTGATATTGACATTTGATGTTGAAGATAACTTAATAAAGATCAATTTTTGATAGTTATGAAACTGGTTTCAACTTTGATGCATTCCTGCCTTGAGTTATATTCAGAGAAACTCAACCTATAATCCCAAAATTTAGATAGTCTTTAAAATGAAATTCATCTGCAAGCCTCAGTTTGAGTAAATTTAGTTTTGTTATATTTAAAAATGAAAGAAATTTTGTTGTTTTCTTATTGGTTTCACTTTTTCATTCCTTTTATTTCTTCATTTGATTGACTAAAAATAATATTATCAAACTTAAACTTAAGTGATGTTTTCTTTATTTTTAATTTCAATCAGCTTCTTACTCAGCTCCAACAAAGAATAAATTTGTGAGGAGTTAAAAACAGTTGTATATGGAAAAATATTGACAATTCAAAGCAGACATAAGAGCAAAATATCAAAGTAAACTTTTGATGATCTCGCAAATATGTGAAGACTCCCTCAGAATGCATGAATTTGTGTCAAAATTATTTTCATATGCATTAAATTTTGGAAAATTGAACTCTTCCCATGTTTTAATTTTGTTACCAAAATGTTTTGACTGATTTATGCTTCTGATGTACAATTCCTAAAAGAATGTGATAAAAAAAATCTGATTCTTTTCAGAAAATAGTTCATTATATATCATTTGGATCAGTCCATTTCCACAATTTTAAATAAAAACTCTTAGTGTCACCCAACAGCACAAGTGATTTCAATCTATATAAAAAAATTCCAATGATAATGCTCTTCTCAAAGTTATAGAGCCTGAAATATTTTAACCAATTAATTTCAATCAACTTCTTATTCAGATCCAACAAAGAATAAATTTGTGATGAATTAAAAACAGTTGTATATATGTGTGTACATTCCATAAATTAGTTTTACTACCACATGAATAATATTACGACAAGGAGTTGAAAAATAAACCCATGAAAGACAATGGAACTGGTTAATAAAGAAGGCTCAAATCTTAATATTAACCTGTGTTTTTTTAAGTATTCCACACTTTCAGAAACTATTTGTTTGCATTGAAACTTATGCATCACTAATCTTTATGAAGAACAACACTAATTCCTATAAGTATACACTTCTTTGATTATGTATATAGTCATCTATGACTTATGCTGTATGATAGCTTTTTATATTATTTTGTATTTCATAATTTCCACATCAATTTATTTACAACTTTATTCATGGTAAGAAGACAAACTTACTTTATGCTCCTACTCTTGTCTTGTTCTTAAAAAATATTTTTTTTATTTACAAACAGAAAGTTTTTGGCAAACAAGCTGATACTCCTCGGTGGCGGGACTGTATAATGTTTACTAAAGAAAATATGGGAAATGCTGTTGGTCGTCTTTTCATTGAAAAATATTTTGACGAAGAAGCAAAAGAAAATGTAAGTTATAATTTTCATATTAAAAACAAATAGAATTATTCATTTGTCATTTTAAACTTAAAAATAATAAATGCATATAGCAAGCTAACAGATTTCTGAATCTTTTATGGGATGGAAGATTTTTAAAGTTGTTTTCAATAAAACTTTTCCTTATATTTTTCTAATTAAAAGGTAACAAAACTAAATGTGGCCAGTAAACAAATAATAGCCATATTCCAGTCAATAGTTTTCCTCTCATCCTTATCAAGAAAATATTTCTTCTGAAATAGATAAGGAAAAACAGGTTTGTAAATTTTGTACTAAAAACAAAGTAAATAGAAAAAATTACTTTAACTATTGTAAACAATTTGTCAGTTATTTGAAGTACATAAATAGCATTAAATCTACAGCTTTGCTTGTGTATATCAATAATGAACATGTAATATTTTTAAAAATCTATATTTTTTAAGCAATAAAAATACATATAAATAAAATAAATAATCAAGACCTTATGTATCATTTTCAGAGACTGAATTTGAACATATTTTTTTCTGTTCATTATCTCTTTTCAAATGCCTATATAGGTAAGTTTACAACAGGCCATAGTAAGGAAAATTAAAATTATTGATCTTTTTCAGTAGGTGTATAGTTATATCAGATGCTTCTATTTTAAAATGATGTCTTTACAAATCCAACCACATTGACTTTGTATTTAAATTTACTTTTTAAGGAATGGTAAAATTGATTTGATTTTTCTTGAGATTTTATTAATTTTTGTATAAAATTTAGAATCTGTCATTTCTACAGAAGCCAGGATAGATTTAAATCATTTTTCACATGAACAGCTAATGTGATGTCTTATATTTATTATAACAGTTAAAAAGGGACTGGTTTATACATTCCCAGGCTTTGAGAAGTTGCTACTTAGCAAATGGTAGCAGTAATAATAGGGTTCAAATTATGAGAATAATTTTTGATGTTTTGTAAAAATATAAATATAGACATTTATCACATATATACATACATGTGTTTAAATTTAATTTCTGAAAGTCTGCTAGCATGTGTCTTTACTGCTGGTCAAAGAGGCAACACAGTAATTATCTTCTCCTTACTACTCATTCTCTTTTAAAACACCATGTATCCATTTATCATTTCTTTGTGTTTGTTTCAGATTATCATTGTTTGAAAAGTGTTTTCCTTGTTTGTGGATTTCTTTGAAATGTATTTTGTTTATCCATTTCCCTTTCTGTGAGATATAATTGTTGTTTCTAGTTTTCACTGTGTATTTCCTGAATAATAGGATAATCACAGTATGAAATGTGGACCTTTTCCCATTGAGACCAGCAGACAGTTACAGTTATAGCAATCATGTATGAAAACGAGAGTATATATAAACTGAGTGATTTTTTTTAAGTTAAAAACCTTCATCCAGTCTCACTTTCTAATAAAATTAATCTTTACTGGATTTCTTACAACCATTAATTTATGAATGTTTCAGCTATTGTACCTTTTCTTTATGGCATCACTTTTGTTGGCTTAACTGAAGTATAGACAGTCATATCCTTATTAATATTTGTTATATTCCGTGCTAATAAGAATATATACTTGAAAAACGATGTGGATAAAATAAGTAAAGGTTTATTATAAAAAAAAAACGGTACAATAACAATAAAGGTAACAGTTATGCACAAGGTTGTCACAAGTCAATACAGTAGTGAATGCTACTATTGGAAGGTCGGTAGTTCTTGCGTAAGTCAGAGTCGTACTCAACAGATCCCAGCTGGTCTCTGTAGTCCATTGACTTACAGATACTTATAGGCAGTTACTACCTATAGTGTAGTCACCCATGAGGGTGACAGGTTATTCCACATCAATAAAAAAAATGTATGCAATATCAACAATTTACATTGTTTGGACTGTTGTTCTCATATCGCCATATTCACAACGTTTTGGCTGTTTTATGCTCTGGCCTTCTTTATGTGATTGGAATTTCAAACTGCACCCTTTATTTCATTCACTGGGGTAGATTGTTCTAGTTCCATGTCTCTTTCAGATGTCTTAGTTATCTACTCTCCAAGTTTTTGTCCACCACTGCAGTAGCCAGGTATTGAATTCACAACACTTTGGGTCAAGTTACTTGATCCAACCAACACTTTTATTCACTGGGCCATGCATCTTTGAGGACATCAGCGTATGAATTTTTGAGGCATAAAAACTTAATGTCTTAGTAACCATTTTTTTTTTTTTTTTTACCAGAGCTCATATTGCAATTTTGTTGTTATTAGTGCTTTTTTCTAGTGCTCTGTATTTTTGGTTCCCATATTGTATTCATTTCTTTGCTTGGCTGGCTTAGGAGATGTTTGTGACCTAGCACATGTGCTGATTCTTTGAGTTTTTGGATTTTCCATTGATTTTCTTTGTCTATTATTTCATCCTCGTCCCAGAGGAGGCAGTAATCTCTCTTTCCCTCCATATGGGGTTAGCTACACCTGATTTTTCTATCCCCCCCCCATATTGCGGCTTTACAATGTTCTTACAATTTTACCTTAAGAGGGTGGACTGTTTCTTCTTTATATTTCTTACCACAGCTGCACGGGATGGCATACATACAGTCTTTAGTTATGTTCTCATCTGCAAAGAGTCAAACTAGTTTTGAAGGCAATCCTTATGTTATATAGACCACAGATTTTTTATATTTTCGCTGATAATCCCTTTACAGAGTAGACGGACTGAATCTGTTTTCTGAGTGTTGTTATCCTCTTGTACCCTTCAATCTCAGTTTGTCGGAGCTGCTGCCATGTACCCAGGGTATTTGTTATATTGTAGGGTACTGCTTATACTGACCATTTCTTGTTCATATGTCTCTGGGTTGCCACATTACTTTTGCTCGATGTTGTATGCTGCAGATGATCCCTTTCTTATACTGTATGGGTGGTGGGGGTTGAAGCTGAGGTATTGTTCAGTGAATGTTGGCTTTAAGTATATGGATGTCTTGAAACCAAGATATTAGTACATCCAGGAAGGCAAGTTTGTTGACATTTTCTCCCTCCCTTGTGGACAGTATCAATGATCTTATTGAGTTGTCATAGTCCAGTAGTAGCTGGACCTCTTCCTGGTGTGGCCAGATTATGAATGCGTTATCTACATATCTCAGCCATAGGATTGGCTTTAGTGATATGGATTCTAATGTCATTTCTTCAAAGTATTTCATGTATATGTTTGTCATTACTGGTGATAATGGTGAGCCCATTGCTAAGCCTTCATCCTGTTGATATATGTCTGACATATTCTTTTTTCTTCACCCAAGGGAACAAATAAAGTGAAAGCATTCTTCATCTTATTTTGTCTTGTATAGTTTCCATTAAAACCTTAGATAGGTGAAGAAAGAAACAATTACAAGACAAGGACTATGCTTGCACTTACTGTTCAGAAACTTTACTTCTCATTTTCTTTGATCTGGTCTTATTTATGCTGACACTGTTGACTCTTGTCAATAGGCCATCCAACTGGAAATACTCATCAGGTTGCCTAATGCATTATTCAGTTTCTGCTTTTCTATTCTAAGAAATCAAATTAAAGTGTCTGACTGTATTATTTGATTACATTGCAGTTGATAAAATGCTTGAAAGAGAATGAATACTCTTGGCAGCTCTGCAGGAAAAATAGAAATGAAAAGAAAAGGGTAAAGAAAACGAAATAGGGGTAAAGAAGCAAATTGATTGTACAAAGAAAAATTGCCAGAGGCATAGAAAGGAAAGAAAAGGAAAATATAAATATTAGGTAAAAGAAAAAAAACAAAAAGATACAAAAGAAAAATGTATTTTAGTAAGAGGGAGTTGCAGAACTGAAGAATAGGCAGGTATGAAAAAACATATATATCAAGAAAGTTTCCACATCTCAGTTGCTAATGAACAAAAATTAAAGACAGTAGCAGTAACAAAAGCATCAGTCAATAAACTGCAAAATATGATTTAAAATCCTTAGGCAAATATCTCCAACCAAACTAGACAAATGGATTAAATTTATAATTACAAAAAAATGAAAATTTGTAATCTTAATAATCTCTAGTCAAAAATCTAATTATACTCTTGACACATCTGGAGTATCTTTGCTTGACTTTCCACTTAGAACTGAGTCCCTATTGAGTGATATGCATATAATTCCATCCATCTCTAAAGTGGATCCCATGAAAGCATGTGGACTTGATGGTATCTCTGCAATAGTTCTTAAGAAATGTGTTCCCAAACTGGCTTCTGTTCTCTTTAAACTGTACAATAAGTGCCTTGCTGATTCCTGGAACTCCTCTTCTGTAGTTTCTGACTTTAAGAGCACAGGCAAACCATCTGATCCTTTTATTAGCCTATTAGCCTTCTATTTCATTTGGCAACATACTGGAGGCTCTAATCAAATTTAAATTGGTCAACCATCTCACCTCAAAAGTTATTCTTTCAGACAAGCAATATGGCTTTCACTTCTCTAGGTTAACATCTAATGTGTTAATGGTTATTGCTGAAAGATCCTATCAAGCATTAAATAAGAATGGTGAAGCTCAGGCTGTTGCTTGAAGGCATTTAAAATGGTTTGGTATACTGGTCTTCTACACAAGTTGAAAGGTTATGGTAATTTTAGATGAATTTTTGAAATGATTCAGTTATTGAATTGTGAAATGAAAGTTGTCTTCAATAGCCACTCTTCTAGATCTCTTTGCATTAATATAGGCATCCCTATGGCTATCTTTGAAACTACATTGTTCCTAATTTTCATCAATGACCTTCCTGATGGGATAAGTTCTCAACTCAATTTCTATGATGATGACAGACATTTATTCCTGTCTTACTATTAAGTCTTAGTGGTTTGTCAAATTGGCAGCTGATCTAAGAAATGATCCACATTATTTAGTTAACTGAGGCAAAGAATGGCTTGTTAATTTTAATGACTCCAAAACAAAATTGCCCTCATCTGAGAGAACCCCTTTCTACCTTCCATCAGCATGTCTGGTGCTAACCTCCAGGAGAATAACT